AAACAGAAGCTTGCAGCACTACTCTCTCTGCTCAGCCAATGCCCTCTTTAGTAGCCATGACATGTGGGGAATGAAAGATTGCCAGAAAATCGAGTCACCTCTCGTTCAGCTATAGGATGCTTTTGCATGCTAGCGGAGTTATGTAACTGTGTGTGATCGCATCTGGTACTGGTGACTTTAGGGGAAAGATCTAAAGCAAGGTCGTGTACATTCATTACCATTTGATAAGTGGAAATGTTTGTGCTTAGTTATCAACGGTCAACCTAGTTTACCAGTAATCTTTACACCTAAAATGAAGATGATTAGAAGAGCTGTGAATAGCAAAATCCTGAAGAGAGATTTAGGACTTTCTGGAGACCCATTTTTTTCCCATGACATAACATTCATCTGATAAAAATAATGAGGTTATTTGTTTTTGAATTACAGTACCGTCATCCATACAAGCAATGCAGGATCAGAATGTAACTGAAGGCTACAATTTGACTCTGAAATGTATTGTATCTGGAATCCCCTCACCAACGGGGTCTTGGATTAAGCTTGATGGTCAGCGACACCATGGACACATGTTGGAGATTATATACATTAATAGGACTCAAGCTGGTGAATACAAATGTGAAGCCAATAACGAGTGTGGCAATGCAACAGAGACAGCAACTATTGATGTGCAGTGTAAGTACATTAAGTAAAATTTATCCCTTGTTACATTTTGTTTCTCTTTTTTTTCTGTCACCGTTTAGCGATTTGCTTCTCTGTCAATTTTTTGATGGAGAGACTTGTTTATTCGTAGCTTCAGCATCAGCTAAGAAAAGAGGACGACTCGTTGCCTATTTCGTAATACATAACTTGCAAAGGTCAATGAAATTGTACCCATAAATTGTCTCTTTTGTCCCTAGACAAACCAGAGAATGTCCAGTTAATGAGTTCTACTATGAATGACAAAGGATGTAGGGGAGAAGTCATCAGCTTTAACTGCTCAGCTATTGCTAATCCAGAAGTGACGTCATACCAGCTGTTTGAGAACGAGACTGCCATTTTCAACACGAGTACCTCGGGGACGTGGAGCAAGACTTTGGGGAGTGAAGGAGTGTTTGTCTACAAATGTGTGGCTAACAATTCTCTGGGATCAGAATACAGCATGAGTGTTACTATCACCACGAATGGTGAGGAAATTTAGTCCAAGTTATGCTTGTTTGAGAACACTTTGAAAAACTGTTCGCACAAAGACAGCATTTGCATTAGCATACAGACACTCGATTATTAAAACATTGACATTTAAAAAGTATGATCTATAAATGACATGACTCAATGGCTTTATGGGAAATGTCTGTTCAATGGCATTCTATTATTCATGGAAAATCTGTTTATGGTCATTCTTTTCTATCAAGGAAACATAGAAGCTTCTATCATTTGCCACATGCAGCTATGTGTAAATAAGGTTACCATGTACCTTTTTACCCATAAAGCTGCTGGGTCTCATCGCTCATAGCCCACATGTTTTTAGGTGTCAAGTTTTTTGCAGTCGAGTGTACCCGTGCATAATCTTTTATTCTTATTTGTAAAAGGCGATCGGTGAAGATTAAATTGCTATTTAAACCTGTCCTCGTTTTCAAATTTTGCAGCGCCTTCTTCAATTATCCAAATTACACAAGATCAGAATGTAACTGAAGGTGACAATGTGACTCTTATGTGTAATGTATCCGGAATGCCTACACCAATGGTGTCTTGGATGACACCGTATAGTCAACGTGTCAGTGGATACAAGCTGGAAGTTAGAAAAATTAACAGAAGTCAAGCTGGTGAATACAAATGTGAAGCCAGTAACGAGTGTGACAATGCAACAGAGAAGGCAACCATCATTGTGCAGTGTAAGTTTCTTTTCCTTAAAAGTTTACGTACATCTGTACATCTGTACTATTACACGTATAATGTACATGTGTACATTTTGTATGAATTGGGATTAAGGTGTCCGTAAATTTACGCATGTTAATGCGTACAATTTGTGATACAGTCAGACCTCTCTTATGCAAACACCAAAGGATCGTCGTAAAGAAATCTCTTCATCTTAAGACTTTTATCATATTACATTCGGTCTTGTTCTACTACTTGATCAAATTATCCCTTAATTTTTTTTATTTTTACACTGACCTATCTACTTTAAATAACCTACTACATTTTTAAACACTCAATGTCTTACATCATACAGTGCTGTAAAGTATATTATTCTATTTATTGTTCTTTTGACGTCCCATACAAACTTTCACTTAAATTAAAAAAAAAAAAATTGCCTGCAGTGAGCTTTCTACCATCTACAGTGTTTGACACAATTTGTCTGTAACTCTTGTAGACAAACCAGGGAATGTGCAATTGACAATATCTGTCATGGATAACAAAGCGTGTAAGGGTGACATGATTGGCTTTACCTGTTCTGCTGAGGCTAATCCATCAGTGACGTCATACCAGCTGTTTGAGAACGGGACAGTCATCGTAGACGCAAACCTTTCAGGAATATGGAAAAGGAATGTGCTAACGGGCGGACTGTTCATGTACAAGTGTGTGGCCAACAACTCTCTAGGATCAGAAGTCAGTTCACCTGTTATGATCACAGTGAATGGTAAGTTAAGTTAAGCTGTGAATCTTTTTCTCGGCACAAATTTACTAATTTACTTCATTGTGTTAGCTGCGCTGCTTATTGGAACAAACTCGTTGATATGTTTACTGGGGACACTTAAAGAGTCAAGGAAGGGATGGGAATTTTTAATGTGGGATAAGAAGCGGAAAGCGTCCGAACATTATCTTCATCCTTTTCAAACGACTTTGATAGAAAAGAGATAACTTTGAAATGTACTGACGCTTTGAAGCTGTTCTCTTGCATACACTTACCAATGTACATCATTGAGTTAACTGTTCTGCTTATTGAAACAAATTAGTGCATGTGTATACGGAGAACATATACAGTATAGAGCGAGGATTGGGGTTTTAGAGATTTGGATAAGCGCGTTTGGGTATTGCTTTTGTCCTTGTCAAATGATTCTGATTAAAAGGAAAAAAGTATGTGATGTCAAATCCTTTTCTTTTTTAGTAATGCGTATTTCCGCACATTTAGTTCCACCACGGTTAACCGAGTTACCTAATCAAAGAAATGGAGCAATCTGAAAAAGTTAAGACACCAATTAAATTGTTTTCATTCCCTGTAACTGCTCTGGACTAAAGAACGCAAAAATGACGGATGCCTTGGATACAATCGTTCAATCGAGCAATGTAAAAAAGAAATTATGTTGTTTTTATTCCCAATAAGTGATTTCGATCAAAGAAGGCAAAATTGACGAACTCCTTGGATGCAATCATTCAATTAGATTGTTTCAAGGGACCCCAGCAATGCATACATGTATTTTAATATGTCGATGTAAATTTGTTTGATAAATGCAAAGTTTAATAAATGAAATGCTTACACAAATAGTTATTTACCGACTAAAGGTTTTGGTACAGTATTTAAGTTTGTATTTGTCAACAGTGCCTTCAAACATCGAATCAATTCAAGATCAGAATGTAACCGAAGGTGACAATTTAACTTTGACATGTAGTGCAACTGGAGTGCCTCAACCAAAGGTGTCTTGGATTAAGCCTGGTGGTCACCGTCACAATGGACACACGTTGGAGGTTACACACATTAAGAGGGGTCAAACTGGTGAATACAAATGTGAAACCAGTAGTGAGTGTGGTAATGCAATAGAGAAGGCCACCATTCATGTGCTGTGTAAGTGTGTGGATAGTTTATTGCTTTTTACTGTCGTTACTTTGAACTTGAGATCTTAATCGGCGTACTTTAACATTACCGCTTGGGAAATCTGACAGCATTTTATCTAAATTTGTATTGGAAATAAAACCCTT